TCTCTTGGTTTGAAAAGGAAGTCTGTTATTTGGGTTTTAACTTTAAAACATAGTCACTTTTATGCCTACATACAGAAGAGAAATGTACCAGCTCTACCTCAAAATAGAACAAAAAATAACACAAATAATATATTCAGAGCTTAGTGTTGTGGGCGGCCTGTGATCACGACAAGCTGCCACGTACGCATGTTGTTTGTCTCACCTTTAAACATTACTATCTGTGTCTATACAGACATGGCAGCTTTCCATGTACACCTACGGAAATGCACAACTAATAGAGCCAAGCAGTACACACCTGGTACACTGTCAGAGCATTTCTTATTCTGAGGCCAAACTTATGTCAGGCACATGTGTCCCCAAGGTTCCTATCACACTTCACTGCAGGAATCTATATTACAGTTCAGTACACTTCCATTAGGCCATACTGTTCCTTTCAGCTGCTAATGTGCAACAAGGGGGACGTGGATTATGATGTCCAAGAACACTGGCGCTTCCTTCTAATAGTGGCAGGCAGCTGTGAACTGTTTGTATGTGCAGGGGCAATAAATGCCTCTATATTAGCGACAGAACGCACACAGAAGCACATAATGTTTGACGAGATTCATTGGTTTAGATCTAACTCTGCATCTTGAACATTATGACCCTGATTTATTACCACTTTGTGCCTGTCACAAAGTGTTAATAAATCTGGCCATAAATAGGAGTCTTCCTTACAGAGAATCTGCAGACTGATTTACTAAGTATTGTGCTCGCAGTTTATTGGCAATTTTGTAATAATTTACCATCAAATAAAAATCATGTCGTAACTTTTTTTTTTATCAGGCATGCTTCACAGTTGAATTCATGTACATAAGTGTGGAGTCGCAACAGAGAGACGTTAGCTAAACCTAACTATCACATAACCATAACAGTGAGTTTTATCTGTGAGACGATTCCTTTATCCCAAAAAAGATTGAAAGAATTTCTTTGGGTAATTCTATACGAAGTATATTGAGGTTTTGTACTAATAGGGCAAGTAAGTCTGCAGGTCTATTAAAGAAATGCACACAAATTGGCTGCTTTTTACTGTAGAATTATTTGCAGTCGAGCTGGGCGATTAGTAATTTTATTTTTTAATTGATTATAAATTTTTCTGTTTATGAAAATTCATTTTTTTGGAAAATGTGGATTTTTTTTTTCCCAAACTGGGGCTCCCACATTTCAAAGTGATGTCAGTTTGACAGCTTCTGTTCTAACTCATAACTAGCTCACTGTGTTATACCACTAGCTACAAACTTCTTGTATGTCATATTTTCATAGCTTTCAGTGGCAACAACAACTTACAACCTATGTAACAACTTGGATTTACTATTGTTGCACTTCGAATAACAAATGCTCGATCCAGTTTTTTCCAATTCCAATACCTTGGCTGAGCATATCAGCCGATATCCGATACAGGTCTGATTCAACTGTTGAATGAAATAACCATATAGATAGGTTTTAGATGGGTGATGTCATGATGATTCTATCTTACAACCGCCATATTGAGTACCGAACACTTAGCTTAGCTCTGTGGCGCTTCCCCTCTGATGAGAATCTTTCTCATTTAAATCCCTGTGAGCTAAACAACACGCAGAGAAAATCGTTGTTTTTGGTTGCGATTCTAAATGAAGTCCCTGCAAACTTTTTTCAACACTTTCTTAAACTAAAAGGCTTCCAGATGTTTACTTTCATGACTGATACATTATCTTATACACAACCGGTCCTCATACACTGGAGAAAGCCTTAATGTGAGATAAAAAGTAAGAAATCTCTGGCTTCATTGTGCATAAAAGTGCAAAACAAAATGTTTCCCTTTTTTTTTTGGTTTCTTTTCATTTTTAAACATTCTATAATTTCCCTTGTACTACACAATTATAAACGATGTTGTTTTCAACATATCCAAATGATTTTAATATTGCTAATACAACGACACACCTTAGACCTCTTTTGTAAAGATGTCTTTTAAAACCTCTAATTAATCTTTTATCTTGACATGGTCTGTATTCATTAATAATTTATGTTGAACTGTTTAAATAACAGCTTTAAATGTAAGTTTTTGTAAAAAGAGTAAAGATGCACTCCTTAAAAAGGCTTCTTTTTCTAAGTTGAGGTGAGACAAAAACAATAGTGTCCTTATTTCCATCAAAACTGGCAGAGAATTTAACATGATAAGAGACCATTTTACAATAAAAGATTGACCATGGTATTTTCAATGGTTATCAGCTCTCTATGCCTACAATAATGCTTGTTTCTAAAAAAAAAAAAAAATGTGTTTTTGATCACATTAAACACTTTGCAATAGGATTTTGGTGGTTTTGCATGAATTAGATCCAGACAGTTCTGTGAGATACATTAAGGATATGCAAAAACATGGTTCAAAGGAAAATGTGTGGGGTAAATGACAAAATGCAGATATTAATAAATTTAAAAGAATATCTCTAAAGATTTCCTAATTTCCATTAATTAAATCCAAGCCCCTGGCAAAGTGCATATCAAGTAGGATTTGCAAACAAACAAGTGGCATAGCTATTTAGCATCAAACAGTGGAGTAACATGGGTTAGATCGCAACAGAATTAGGAAGCAGGAGAACTCAAGAGGGGAGGACACAAGGAGCTGAGAGAGTAAGGAGACACCATACTTTTTGTTTTCTTTCTATGTTTACTTACTGATCTGTATCTTTCTTAAGCTAATAGTTTGCTTTGCTTCGTTGGCATGTGAAAATAGACCTATAGGATTCTTCGCGACACTGACACACAATAAAAGCTGTGAGCAGCAAGTGTTGCATCTGTGTGCATCTGGAGCACACACTGTCCCTGTTTCTGCAGATCATTGGTGTTTGCATGTGTGAGTAAAGAGAAGAGAACAGCAGAGCAACCTCAGCCTGACACTCATCAACGTCTGGCTGTTACATTTCTATGACACGCTCTGTCTCTGTCGGAACAGTGACGGTGGCGCAGAGGGAGTGGGAAGATGCTGGAGAATGTAGTTTGGACAGGACCAAGAGGGGAGAAATGAAGAGGCCAAAATGAGGACTGAAGAAAACTTTCTTTCTTACAAGTTGTACCCGAAAACTTTCTCTTCTGGGAACGTATATACGTGCATGCTAAGTAAAATATCATATATTAGGATTTGTCCAAAATGCTTGTCATGTTTAGCAACCGAGAAATTATTTTTTTATCATGAACCTGTCTCCTGTTTGTATAAAGTGCTATTGTGAAGCTTTGTCTTTGGATTTCATTTTAATCATAAAGTATAAGGGCCATGTTTACACGGGTATAAATAGACTTTTTCAATAATCTTTTGAAGGAGTTTTTAATGCTTCTAATACAACTCAACAATATAAAATTTTTTGGTTTTACAGCACTTTAAAGACATGAGATGCAATTAAAGGTTCTACCAGACAAGAAGGACTCTTTCAGAAATTACTGTATCTCAGGAGACAGATATGTTGTTGCTCCTGCCCTCCTGGCTGGTATCTTTAGAAACATGAGTCATACCTTTCTATTGTACCTCTTTTTTGGATGTGTGTAATGAGGTAATAAAAGTAGTTGTCGCTTTTATTACCTCCTAATTTACCACCGTTATAGTAAATATGTTGATAAATGCAATCTGAGGTGTCTCCTAGGGTTTTAAAAGGTTTTCAGGATGCTTTTTTAACTGTTCATTATGAAAACATTTTGGACAAGGCCCAAAAAGAAGATTTTTTTTTTTATTATTATTAAACAGGAATTAATAAGACATTGTTATTCTTTTATCTATTACCTATACACTGATAGCAAATGGTTGTATTTAAACATGATAATTTTTTTCTTCAATTTATTCTTGATTTGCTTTTTTGGATTTTTTTTTTTTTTTTGCTTACACAAAGGGAACATCCTGACTTCTATAATGTAGTGTTTCATTTCGACAAAGGGCTAAGGTTCACTTGGCTAAATGTACACAATTAATCTTAATTTATGCCTATAGTCTTAACCTATGCTTGCTAACAGTTTCTGTTCAGTACAAAATGTTTCATACTTTTACCGTTTCCATCTTCTCTCAGTAGCATGCAGTTACAGCTGAAGGCACTTTTAAAGATAAGAAATCCCAAAATGAGAAAATCAAAGGTAGTTTAATACTGTACAACATATAACTCTGATTTTACATAAATCATAAATAAAAAAATGTCCTCAACGGGAATGAGATAACTTACTAATTAAAATGCACAACAAACCTTGATCCAAAAAAAGAAAAAATGAAATCTTCTGTTTTTACACTGATTCTGAACCACAAGCTTATCTTAACATAGCCCCCCCCCCCCCCCCCCTCTCCTTTACTGTTTAGTCAAAATTATCATAATTTGTCTACTTTCATGTTTTTTAAATGTTGCTCAGAAAAGCAGAAATGCCCTCTAGCCTTATACTTGGTTAATTTGCAGGATAATAGAAACAGCTTGTTTCTCAAGGTTACTGGAGGTTAAGGATTCTAAGTTTAGAGATGTATTTGTCTGAATACTCTTAAATTGGCCTTTAGGTTAAGACTGTCAGGTTCTGCCTTTTAATCATGGGCTTTAAGGGTTTAAACATCTCTTTTGATACGGCTTAATAAAACCAAATGTTTTCATTTCTGTCACTGTCTTAAAAATAAATTTATTTGGAGCATGGAGACCCAACAGAATGCCCAAACAACCAATAAAATGCAAAAATAAGAATAATGCTACTTCACAGGGTGATATTGAACTCTTCACTCTTAACTACAGAGCTCCCTAATTCTATACCTTTCTCTGCTTTTGGTTAAAAGGTACGAAGCAGAGAAGGTTCTGATCAATGCTTGAGAACATCCCCTTGAGGGCAGACACATGGAATAGTTAAAAACTGGCCTTCAAAAGGCTAGGCTATTGATTGAAAAGCTTTCCAAAGTGTTTTTCATCTCTTGTGACTACAGAAGGATAATAGCGGCTGGTGTGCAGCCGGGTGCAGATGGTACAGCTGACCACCATGGAGGGGAGAGAGGACAAGTCAATAGAGGAGGGAAATACGTACCCCTGGCAGTGTCTTCTGTTCATGGAGGGCGTTTTGGGCCTTAATGGCTGACTCACGGGCGCAGTAGGTGAGGAATGCACAACCTGAAACAAAAGGAATAGAAAAAAAACTGTGATCAGAGTAAGACAAGGGATTCATATACGTAATTAAGCATAACAGGGACAGAGACTTGAATTTCAAATAGTAAACCTATAAGAAAAAAATGGGTTCTTTTTTTTTAAGTCAGATTTTTTATTATTTGAAACATACAGCAAACATTTTTGGATTAAACAAAAGAAAAAAAACAAAATCTCATTGGAAATGTAAAAGTAGGAAAAAAGGAAGAAAAAAAAGAGAGAGACATGAACAGAAAAATTCTTAAAGCAAATGTCAGGTAAGTCCAGGATCCCTCTCCCTATTGCCATGTCCTGCCCAAGCCTTCTTGCAAGCCGTGCCATTGTCCTCCTAATCCCAAACAGCTCTGACAGCAAAGCAGGCAAAAGAAACAAGAGAGTGGAGAAATATTCAGAGAGACAGAATGGAAAAAGAAGGTTGAAGGAGACAAGCTCAGAAATGCAGGAGAATAGAGGGGGCGATCAGAAGATATGTGAAACTTGGAGGGGAATTCCCAACTACAATATGTCAAACGCACTGCCATGTTCACATCCACACGCAATTGTAGACATTGTTGGGATCCTAGTATCCACAACCCAACATGACAGACATAGGTATATGCAGTGATTTAAGAGGGTCTACCACAGGTCTAATTAAACACTAGATAAGGCAATTAAGTGGAAAACATGCAGATAAAGAAAAAATGTCTATCTGTTCTCAATCAGCAAATTAACAAAAACATAAACATTAAAATATTAAAATCCTCTGTAGCCAACAGTTCCTTTTTGAGAAAAGGGGACATCTTGACGCACTTCACAAAAACAATTCATACAGTTAGATTGGTTAAAATTTGTCTGACAACGGAAATCCATCTGAATGAATCAAGTCGTTGACTTTTCAGGATTTTTTGCTTCCTGGATGAGCATGTGGGGAACATAGTGTTGGTCAGAAATTCAGATTGTGGTGGAGCTCCTTACACATTAGCCAGAATGTGTCTGTTTTAGGGCTGCAACTAAAGATTAATTATTAATCTGTTGATTCTTTTTTCGATTAATCAATTAATATTTGGATAGCCAAAAGTTCTTTAAAGAAGATATTTACTAAATTAAACCAGGTGAAACTAATAGTCTTCCACTTTAGGAGTTCTGGTGAGCGTATTGACGGACAAAAATGTTTTCTTTTAGGGATGCACAATATAATCAGCCCCCTATCGGTAACGGCCTGTATCGGCCTCAAAACTGAATATCGGACATCGGCCACCCCACCGATATTTAACCCGATATTTGATCAGCTTCTGAGTTTCTAAAGTCTAAAAAAATAAAAAAAAACTACTTCTTTTTCTTCCTCAAAAACTTCTTTTTTACAGACTTAAAATCTTCTAAAGACGAGGGAAAAAATATTGATACATTAAAATATCACAATATCTTCATATGCTGATATATTGCCATTTAAAAACACCATATCAATCTCTTTTACTAATGAAATATTGCTATATGTCATCGTTATGCTACGAAATCCCCCGAAAATTCACAAAATTTTGCCATATTTTAATATGTTGATATATTGACGTGGTATCAATCTATTTTACTAACAAAATCTCACAAGAATTTGCAAAAAATCATGAGAGTTTGTAACAGAATGATGAAATTTCACGAGATTTTGAAAGTAAAATAGATCGATACCGCGTTTTTAAAAATCTATTTGATATCAGCATATGAAAACATATTTGAGTATATTATTTTTTAAAGTGTCAGAAATGGATAATAAAACTGCTATTTTCAATGACTACTTATTTTTATAAAAAATATCGGTATCGGTTATTGGCTACATGAGTTTTAAAATATCGGCATATCGGATATCGGCCAAAATTGCAATATCGTGCATCCCTATTTTCTTTATCTTGCAATGCAAAATGTTTACATATTTTTTGTACAATTTTGGTAAAATAAAAATAAAAAACTTTTTAAAGTGGGTTGCTCTGTCAGCAAAAGAAATGTTTTAGAGTCTCTTTACTCTAGTTAACAATTAACTGAGTACTGTGACAAAGTGTGAGGAATACACATACATTCTGTGTCAACATTTAAACACAGCTGAACAACCTGTCCTTAATGGTTGATTTAATTATGCTGTAGTCTTATGAAATGAAAGAACACCAAAGGTTCTTGACCCAGAGGCATGACTGGTTATCAGCTGATTTGGCCCCATAGAGCTTTGCTCTCAGTCCCGCTGGACTTAAACCATCTCTGTTCATCACAGGTGTTAAACAAGGGGAGGTCAGTTTGCATAACTCTGAATATTATTAACTTCTAAAATTATTATATTTATCAAAGATCCAAAATAATTGATGAAATACTATGAAACATTAAAACAACATAACCTATAGCTTAAACACAACCATAGATAGGTGTATTGCTTCACCACATTATCGGGGGCGTTTTTGCTGAATTTGAGAATAAAGATGGCCAAAAAAGAGATGGATGATTGGAAGCGAACTTTGAGGCACAGCTGTAACTTAAAAATGAAGATTGCTTGGTTTATATACAGTCCAAACAATGCTTTAAAGGTAAGATGCTTTGTCTTGGAGTGGTCATAAAATTCACTCGAGTATAATCCCTATCCTAGTGCCGCCAATTAGGAAATACCTAACAGATGATTTCTTTAACTGTATCATTCTGTCACTGCTGTGATATAAAGTATTAACTGTTTTGAAAAACCACAAAATTCAAAGCATTTTTCATATAAAGTGCTAGTGCTTTTAATCCAAATAATCTGTTTCATCCCAGTTTTGAATGAGATCAAATCATGAATACTACAGTTTCAGTCACATAGAAAAGTGACACTTGAATTTGCTTCCTCTCAGTTTTTGTATATTGCCTCTGATGTGGATTTAAATGGACTAAATGATGTTAAAATTTACTCAGACACCTATTATTGGAAAAACTGAAAAATTTCCAAATTTAAGGAATCGTACATCTAACCTTAAGCAGAGAAGAGCCTGAAAGTTATTACATTGGATATTGCTGCACACTTAATACATCAAAACGAGAAAAAGTAAAAAAAAAAATTTAAAAAAAAAAGAGAGAGCAACAAAGGCAAAAAAAAAAAAATAGGGGAGAAGGCAGACGGAGTACTGAGGCAATCATTTCGCCCTGACTATCCGGATAAATAGATTTGCTTGTGTTCTATTAATGAGGTTCATATGGGTCAGCATGCATCATATTTCTGCCACTCTGAAGATGGTTTATTAGCAGCCCTTGCATTCTGGATCTCATTTCATCAACCAAATGTATTCAGTGGGTGGTGATGTATTAAGCGTCTTTACACGGACAATATTCCACTCCATTTTTCTTCCCTCATACAAGATCGCCTTTATTCATCCATGAACCATATTTTTGTGCCTTAACTGTGTGGCTGTGTCTCTAATGTAGCGTTGACAGGAATGCCTTAAAGAATCGTTGTTTCATGACTGTCTCAGAGCTTTTTCTTTTATTTATTCAAAGACTTTTGTCTAGGTTTCGTCTCTGAGCCCCAAACATAGGGATTACGAATTAAATAGGAATTTGTTTATTTTATGAAGAGTCTGTACCCTACTAAGTATGAAAGAGGCATTGGAGGAGTCCTTTAGGGGTCAGGACCTGACCTTGAGGTCGCCCACTTTCACCCAACAGCCCTAACCTAACGATTTTTAATGGCTAAGTAAATCACCAAAATAACCACAGAGCTGTTGAAAGAACGTCACTCTTCTGTATCAGAATGTTGAAAAAAGAAAAACACAAAGATGAAGAAAGCTGCAGTTTTGGGTTTGTTTGTTTCTTTAATCAGCAGGGGTAAAATGGAATGGCTCTATCAGGGCTCTTGGTTTTCCTCTTTCTCTTCTGGTCTCTCTGGGCTTGTTGTTGTTGACAAATGGTGGCCCTATCTTTGAATACAAAACGAGTATTTTGCATTACAATCAGAAAAGACGATTTATTTGTTAATGTGTAATGCATAGGGCTTGCCGAATAAATTAATAACAAGCACAACACTGGAAAACAAAAGAGAAACATGAACTCCATTTAAATGTGATTCTGTGCTCTTTAATGTATGGCTTAATAAGAATTTGCAGGCCACAGGCAAAAAGGCTTTAACAACTCCATAATTGGAATCCAAACACGTACAAATTGCCAGTGCTGCATTGCATACCAAATGTGAAAAAGTGTGCTTGGGTGGGGGTGGCGTGGGGGTGGGCATGATGAAATTGTTTGAAACACAACAAAAAGCCACTGTAATCAAAGCCTGCTGACACAGCAATGGGGGAAGCCCTCCCACTGTGAGGAGATGATCCTCTGCATCATCTGACAGAAACTTAACATAGCTTTATCTCACACATCGATTTCATCTCTGAAGAAAAAAAAAATCTTTGCAGTCTTTACCTCCTCTGTGCTCTCCACGCTCGCCTCTTATCCCCTATTGCAACTCCAGGTTGGGTACGGAGAAATCGTCTAAATCTCACCATCTTAACTGTTTAATTGGCATGTAATTAAGAGTGTCGGCTGCTAGATGGAGTGAGTCCTCTTCCCTCATGCAAATCGTTCCATATGTGGTCTCTATAATACAGCCTTCTCTATTTTGTTCCCAAAAGAGTCAATTGTCACTGGATATTTAAACATTTTCCCAAATGAGTAATAGAAAACTTAAACTTGTTAAGAATAAATTCTCACCTCTGCTTCCTACAGATATATTGTCATTTAGTTCCTTTCAAATCCATAAACATGTTTTCAATCATGCTACTCAGAGCATGTTAATTCGAATACCAATTAAATTTTATTTCTCATGTTGTATGTTGTTCATTTAGTCGTGTCTCTTACTTCTTTTTTTTTTTTTTTTTATATTTAACCTACTAGAATCTCTGTGCAACCATTTGCTTCTCATTTTGCTGCTAGTAAAGCTAGATTTGACCCATAAGGGAAACAATGGACATTGCTATGCTCTTACTATTCTGTTCTGTTCT